ACCAGCCTAGGTTCAGTTCTCGTGATCACACTCACTCTGCCACCAGATTGTGAGATGAGGAGGAAAGAGCCCGTCATCATATCACCCAGTGGTAGGTTGTGGTCTATCGTCACACACACACACACACACATCACACACATCACACATTTTTGGATATATCTACACACACACATACATCACACATACACACACACTCACCACACACACATACACATACAAACACACATACTTGGATATCTTTACACACACACACACACACGCATATATTATATATATATACTTAGATATCTACACACACACACACACACACACACACACACACATACACAAACAAACAAAGACACACATATATTATATAAATATACTTAGATATCTACACACACATACAAACACACACACACACACATACAAACACACAAACAAAGACACACAAACACGACACACACACATACACACCCAAACACACACAAACAAACACACACACAAACACGACGTAGGAACAATATTCCGACTTAAAGGCTCCATACTAGCAATCTCCTTTCTCGATAGCAATGGTTCCCTCATACCTGCTGCATCTGAATCTTGGAAAGACCTCGCCAGTGCTTCCAGTAGAGAATTTTCTGGAAAAGAAGATAAAAAATCGTCTCAATATAATAGTTATTATTATTATTTTTGTTGTTGTTGTTGAAATTGCTATCATTATTGTTATTATTAATGTTGTTGTTGGTGGTAGTAGTAGTAGTAATAGTAGTAGTAGTAGTAGTAGTAGTAGTACTAGTACTAGTAGTAGTAGTATTTCACTCATTTTTTTTTTCTCTCTCGCACCCTATTTTTCTTCTCCCCTCTCTTTCTCTCTCTCTCTCCCCCATTTTGAATTTTGATCAATACGTTAAAATTATTTAAATGCATAACTCAATCGATCTATCAGTCAACCAACCAACCAATCAACCAACCAATCTACCAGCCGGCCAATCAACTAACTAGTCAACCAACCAATCAATCAATCATCTAGATTACCAATCAACTAACCAACCAACCAACCAATCACCTAGCCAACCAACCAATCAACCAGCCAACCAACCAACCAACCAATCAGAACAATCCCCCTCATCTCGCTCCCGAATATCGCCCATCCCATCAGTTGAGATGCCAAGCGACAGGCAGTATTCAGTAATCTGCTCAGAAAAACAAGCTAGAGTAAGTGGAAATGTAGTTATCCTTTTTCATAGCGTAGTGGTTAAGACGTTTGCCACTGTGTTTCTCGCGACGGGGTTCGATTTCAAAGAATCCGACACAATTTTTGAATAATTTGATGCTGTGTTGGAGGAAGTGTTTGCAATGAATATATATCACACATCAACATGTTACCACATAACTTACTCAAGCTTGATGAGTTATGTTTAACGGTTATGAGCGCTCAGTCTTGCGTTGCAGACACCTGGCTCGAATCCAAAAGGATCCGCGATTAGCATAAGCAAAGTTGCATAAGCAAATAATACTTATAATAATAATAATAATAATAATAATAATAATAATAATAATAATAATAATGAATATGATTATTGTTGTTGTTGTTACAAAGGTCATATCGCTACCTTCACAAACGTGCGTGTACAAGGTCAAGGTCACAGAGACTTCGTGCGTGGCAAAAGCCGAAATTATTCTATTCAAAGGTGATGACGTCATAACTGGGCGTAATTAATTATTCATTACTTGATTTGATCATCACCGAGTTTGTTGACCAACGAGGGAAATAGCTGACCTGTATGTGTTCATACCATGCTCATTATCATAAACATCATCTTCATCGTCGTCGTCATCATCATCATCAACACTATCATCATCATCATCATCACCAGCAATGACATCACTATCATCATCTTCATCGTCATCTTCGTCATCATCATCACTATCATCATCACCATCATCATCGCCATCTTCATCTTCAACATTACCGTCATCTTCCTCATCATCATCACCAACATTTGTCATCACGATCATCATCTTCATCATTACCATCATCTTCCTCCTCATCATCATCACCAACATCATCATCGTCTTCATCATCGCCACAGACAGCGTATGCCTGACGTGTTATGTAGCGAACGGCCACATTGTCGTCTTCAGCTTACCGACGTTGAAGCCATTACTGGATGTGGATTACATTGGTGCGCCGAACATAAGGTTAATTGTGTATTGTATTGTATGTATTGTATTGT